TGATTAGTTAATCACTTATAAATGCCTTACAACTGAACGTTATTATAAAGTGTTACCTGCAATCTTTATGGTGACATTTACAGAATGTCTTTTTCAGACTGTAAACAAAAAAGAAATTGGATGTTGCCTTTTGCAGTTACAGATGAGTTCAGCTTCTTAACCTGACCTGAAGTCACTATTGATTGATACTTTTTTTGTTGATGTTGTTTGTATCATGAAGGACATGATGGCTAATTTTTTTTTTTTTTCAATGTTGTTTTCATGGAGAACTTCACAAAGTTCACAAAGATTCTTAATATCTGAACCTACACAACTTCTTATTTCTTCTAGAACATGCTGGCAGAGAAGGTGGAGCAAATGATGGAGTGGAGTTCCCGGCGTTCCGTGATCCGTATGAACGGGGATAAGTTCCGGCGGTTTGTCAAGGCTCCACCCCGGAACTATTCCGTCATTGTGATGTTCACCGCACTACAACCCCAGAGACAATGTTCTGTCTGCAGGTGAGACAAGCACATTCATCTTTTAGTTGCTGTCCACAGGTATAATGCTGTATATACTGAAGTAAAACGATAATAACAGGTGTAAACGCAGTCATAGATAAAGATTGTATCTGCCCCAGAGCACCACCGGAAAACCTTCTACATCTGTCTGTTCCCAAGCAGCCTCCACCCCAGACATCATTCCCATCTATTTATCCCACGACAGCTACTTAGCCTCCATCCACTCACCTCACATCCATCTCTTCCCTCATTATCCTTCAATCGTCGGGTGAAATGACTCCGTGCTCATACAGTCGTGTTCCTCAGCTGAATATCAAGCCTCAGAGAGTGAACCACTCCCACTAGTCTATTCAGAATTCTTAGACATCATCTGCCAGCTTCATTGAATAAAGATAACGGACTGGAACAGTCATGTGTGCTACCAAAATAGAGGAAGTTAATTTAAAGCAGATCGACCTTTAAACGCCCAGTCACCCTATCGCGACGATGTGACCCCTAATGCTTTTTTAATTATCTACTGTCTACTCAAATCGCATGTTTATGTATATTCTCGTTATTTGCTCCTTATTTGCCCTCCATCTCTCTCCCTGTCTTTCTCACACCAAATTAATTGTTTTCTTTTCTCATACATCATTTTGTCCTGAATACTGTAGTCGACTGTTTGGCTAGAAGTTAGCTAGTCGTTCTATATCTTTGCTGTTAGATAGTTTGCATGGTAAAACCCTCTCTGAAAAGTTGCCGCTTTAAATATATATAGCAATGTCACTACAGCCATACTTATACAGACAGATTTCTTTAACCATAGTTTTGTGCCTTGTGCCGTTTTTGAGCAACCTGTTAAAACGATCTCAAGACTCCTGAATTCTGTATGTGTGTGTGTTTCTATGGTAGCTTGTTTTCACCATGGGATAAAAAATAATAAGCTAATTGTGATTTATTTTTTTATTTTTTTACTCACAATTGCAAATTTACATCTCGTAATACCTCTGTTCATCAATTTGCACTGGCTACCAGTAGCTGCTCGCATTAAATTCAAGGCATTAATGTTTGCCTACAAAACCACCACTGGCTCATTACCTAAATTCATTACTTCAGAGTTATGTGCCCTCTAGAAGCTTGCGTTCTGCAAGTGAACGGTGTATTATTGTGCTATCCCAAAGAAGCACAAAATCACTTTCACAGACTTTTTCATTAACTGTTCCCTCCTGGTGGAATGACCTGCCCAATGTGTGTGTGTGTGTTTATGTGTGTGTATAATATATATATATATACACACACCTTGCTACATGTACTGTGTTAGACTAACCGAGACTTGTCATTTGCACTTATATATTGTTGCTCTTTTGTTAGTTTTGACTGCTTTTATTGTCCTCATTTGTAAGTCGCTTTGGATAAAAGCGTCTGCTAAATGACTAAATGTAATACTGACTTTTTCCTCAAAATTGCTAGTTTATATCTCGCAATTCTGACTTTTTTTCCTCACAGTTCTGAGAAAAAAGTATTACGAGATTTACACTAGCCATTTTGATATAAAAAGTTGCAATTAGCTTTATTTTTTTATCCCGTGGCAGGAGCAAGCTGCCACAGACGTCTTATTTAAATTATCTCTAAACTTTAAAAAATGTATAAATCTGACACACTACTCAAACTTGCATTATTACAAAATTTTATTACCAACGTTTCAGCCAATCGACCTTCCTTAGCCTAAGGAGTTAATAATAACATTTTGTAATGGTACAAGTTTCAGTAGTGTGCAAACGTCTGTATTTTTTGTAGTTGATGATGGACTTATCAAACATACTGACAAATGATTCAGGTGTGAAAAGCACTATATTTTCCAAATTTCCAAAAGAATAAAAGCTTTATTTGGGCTTCCTTAAATCGTTCAGACTCACTGCCTGCATGTTTTCCAAGGGTCCTTAAAAGTTTTAAAATGGCATAAATTCACTTTTCAGAATTGAAAGCTGTGAAAAGTCTTTAAATATCTTAAATAGCATGGGTAAAAAAGTCTTAAATGTCATTTGCGAAGGACAGGAAATGCTGCTATTAAGGAAGCTTCACACTGCTGACGTAAGGGAGCTTTGAGGTAAAGATGCAGTGCAGCATGTAAATGATGTGCCATTTTTTTGTTTAATATCAGTTATTTCATATTGTTTATTTTAATAAATCGTTCCAAATAACGAGTCAGTGCTGTGCTATTTGTCATCTCCCCAAAGGAATTAATGAAATGCCATTTTACCATAGTTCCGAAGGACTGTGCTCTCCAGAGCACTTTTGACTGCGGTAACTTCTCAATGACCGATCAGTTAACATCAGCTCATCCCTTGCTTTTTGAAAATGGACACTCAGCATAAGATGAAACATTAATGTGCATAATCATGCATATTTAAACTTGTTTTTACCACCTGCAGAGTGCCCTGCTTTATTGATGTTTATGGGTACATTTAGTTTATTGATGCATTTATCAAGTCTTTAAATTGTACACTTTCAATCTTTAAATGCAAGTTTGCTTAGCACTACATGGATGAGATTTGTTTTCTGAACAATGATTAAGTCACAGTTATGAACATAGGATGTTTGTCATCTCATAATCCAGAAGGGATTGGGATACCTGTAGTTTTTACTGAGATGGGAGTGTCGGTTATCTGAATTTGGCCTTTATGGAAGGTGGTGTACTGGAGGTGCATCATGCAACCCATAGAAATAAGAAATGTTTTGTCTGCGCAAATATACGGGGGAAAAGAAGAGCTCTTTGAAGTGATGTGAGTGCTTTTGATCCAGCATCATCAATGTTTAATTTTCATTTGTTTGTTTATTTATTTATGGTGGACATCACAGTGACGTTTTCCGGGAACTGGCAGGTGGACATCTCTATTATGTCTCCTTTAAATAAAATCAAGCCATTCTCAGAAAAAACAAGTGATTCCTGACCACATTTACTCTGTTTTATTTTTCTGGCTGTACACAGATCTGATCCTCCACACGTATGCTTAAATGGTCTTAACTTCTCATTTTTTCAGAGTCTGACAACTTCAAGAATTGCATTTTAAAAAGCAGCAAGAACAATCAAATGGAAAATAGCTCCCCGTCTATTTTCGATGTAATGAAATGTCACACTTCTCAGAAGCAAATTATAGAGAAGAAAATCTTTACGACACAGAACATGCACATTAATTTAACACACGCTGATACATAGCTATTCTACTGCAATTTGCACACTAAAGAGTTATGAAAGAAGCTTTATCATGAACTTACGTGCTCTTATGCCTATAGATGCCTACAGAGCTGTATCTGGGGTAAAAGTCATCAATTAGATTTGCACTACTGACATCTATTTCTGTTGTTTCCTCAATGCGTTTACTTTCATTTGGGTTCATCAAAAACCTCATGCATTAAATTAAAATAAATTGCTCCAGCTCATAAAGACATCAAGCCCTCAGGGAAAGTCTAGTGGACAAGACGCAAATGAGCTTTCTGATTTTTCAAACTTAGACTGCATTAGACTTCATTTAGTATAATAATGAATTTAGGATTTGTGTCCACATTACAAATGTGTCTCTTTTGGGTTTCCATTACCAGATCAGATACCTCAAAGTGTAATGATGAGGTTACTGCCTAGTAGTTCAACATTGTTATTGTAAATGTAAGTGGCTGTAGATAAATGTATTATCTACATAGCAGTACACTAGTTTAGTGGTGTTTAATGACATCTCTTGGATATTGTTAAGGTATTGGTATTTATCATTAGACAAATTAAGGGGTGGTCAAACAAGATTTTGTTTATTCACTTCACTTTGTATGCATACAAACTTCCGAAACTGGGTAAACAAGCATGTACAATCTTCTTTGATTTATGCATGCTCAAACTACAAAACTAATCAGTAAATTAAAAATGAAACACCCAAAACTGTATATGGCATCAACTGTAGCATGTAAAACGGGAACATGAAAGGAATATTCTAAAAGCAACTCATGTAAACACCTTAATCGTAATATTGTCTTATTCAGAATAAGGTAAATAATTAGATTACTGATGTCCATGTAAACGTAGTCTATGTGTTGCAGATTTGTGAAATACAGTTTGATGCTCTTGGCTGATAATCAAACATAGAGGAAATTCATTTTGGCAGTTTAAAGGATTTTTTTTTATTAAAATAATTTAAGCTTCATGAAAAACCTGGAATATGTGGCATATTTTAATATTTTACATTTAATGTAATTTATTATTCAGTATTATTCAACCCTGGAGGGTAATGTCATATCGTTTTACCCTTATTCGTTGTGAGGTCCAAAATATTTTTGCTTTGATAAAATCTAGCGTGCTCCAACCTAACCATCCTGGGAAACTGCAACGGCTTCTGTTCACCCGCACCAAACCCATTTCTTAGAGGACATGTGGGTTAATGTTGATTTGATGTGTTTTCATCCAGAGCATGGGGACAGCAGTATTAGTCAGTCCATTAGTATGCTAATAAACAGATGTGTGTTAGAGGTGCTGGTTAATAACATTCCCCAGTGTGTTTTAAAGACGTTTTCATCACCAGCGATTACATGATTGCTCCCCGTGATTGAAATTATATGTAATTACATGAATATCACTTAGCTAGATTCCTTCTCTTGTGTTCTTTGAAGGGAACCATCACCTTAATGTGTAAAATCTAAAAAAAAAAAGATAATTCACCATCATGCAATTTTGACCCCAATTGTTTTATTTCCTCTGTGATATTAGGCAGAATTTCCAAGTTGCACTTTTCTTTGTTGAAGATGGATGGTGAAATACTGTGAAGCTCCAAAAAGCACCATTATACAACCCTCTACGCACACCTTGGCAATATAATCGCCATTGGCTAGTA